GCCAGGGGTCAGGAAGGAGCAGGCATAGCATGTGACTACAACAAGCAGTAAGAGAGAGAAGTGTTTTGTTTTGTTTTTTGGGGGGGTAGGAATGTGATGAAACATTTTTTATCCATAAAAAAAGTCTCCATTTGTAACTGCTGGGATTGAAGAAGAAGGTTTGCTTCCAAGGTGCATGTTAATTACTCTTCTTTTAATTAAATTTATTTTAATAATCAGCTGTACAAGTAGTTTGTGGTATATATGTGGAAAATCATGCCCTAATTGATGAATCAGTTCTTCAAATGGGAAGGAGGAAGGAGTACATATTACCCACATGCCAGTGTTTTGATGTAGGTGGAATTCACTGAAGAGCTGGGCATTTTGGATCTGCCTTTCTCCTGAAGGGAGTTTTGTCTCTGAAGGCATCAGAGGGGTTTTGTCCATGGTCAAATCTTTGTAGGCAACCAGATGGCTGCTCCAGGAAACAGCTTGGGCAGGGGTGAGTTGTATAACGCCCCCCCTCCAACCTTTCCTGTAGCAAAAATTGTGAGCCCTCTCACGACATTTAATCACAACTCTCTTCTGCTTTGTATGGAAATCAAAGCGACAGGATTTTCCCGATTTTATTTATGGAGACAGACATCAGAGGAGCAAGCAAGAGCTCTAAACAAATACATCTTAACCACGAGGCTTGCATGTGTTGCAGATTTTCTGTCCCAGGACAGATGTGCAACCTCGCTCTTCAGAAGGGACCTGAGACCTCTAACCCCTTGCTAAGAACAAAAGATAATAGTCTCAGTTGTGGTATCACATGTGTTTCCCATGAGAAGGGAGACTCTCCAGGGTCACCTCCCATTTGTCAGACTGTCTTGTGGGCACCCCCTGGTGGTCACAGGTGGAGTGGCTCTTTGTTCTTTGCATCTAGAAGTTCTGGGGCTGCAACACTGGTGTAAAACAAAAATAAACATTCTGATTTGGTTTTTGTTTGTTTGGTTTTTTATGGTCAGCAAGAAAGAAATAACTGAACACCAAGAGAAGAAGCAGCAGAAAATGAAGTATCTTCTGACCAAATGGTGTTGACAGGTGGTCATCAGAGCTCGGAGTCCTTGTATTTTTCTCCAGCTGCGTTAGCAAGTTTTTTTTGTACCTCCTCCCCCTCCCCATGCTTTACTCTTCTCATGTGGAAAATAGGAAACTTAAATGAGGTTATTTCTAAGTGTGCTTTTGGCTTTACATGGAGCTACTATCTACTATCTATACGTTTAGTAGGTGTCTTCTACTGAGGTGTTGGATGCCATTTCTGCCACCTGTCTGCACCAGCCCTGAGGAATGGAAGAAAATGTGAAGAGGTCATGTGATAGCTCTTTGACCTCTGTCTTTTAGCCTTTTCTATATGTGGCAGCAGGAGCTTCCATAACATTTCAAAGAGACGATTGTGATTAGAGCATAATGAAAGCCAATCGAAGCAGAGTTTAGTTCCTTCCCAAAGGCTCCCCTCCAATCACTATGAACACCCACTCATTTGGGAGAGACTTTGGATGCAAGTTTAAATCCTGCTGAAATCTGAGGGCAAGACCCTCTTTTACACCTATGGGTCCCCCCTCGGTTTAAGGCTTCCTAAATCCTGAAGCTATAAGTTGTATTTTCAAAGCACATCTCACAGTTAGTTACATCTTACAGATAACAAGGCAATCGATCCCGACAATGCCCTGGGTATTTTTCGTATTTGTAAGCAGAGCTACTCAATTGCTCTCTACCTCCATTTCCTTACCTTTGGAGCTTTGAAAGTCAGAGATCCCATGGGGACATGCTTTGTAAAGGGCCACACAACATTAGTGAGTGTTAGTAAAGGCGATTTCACAGTCAGATCCCAAGATGGTACCTGGAAGTTAAAGTGCTTTCTACAGAACATCAGCAATTACTTCCAATGTTTCTTGGATTAGAATTATAATTCCTTTTTGTGCAACTTGTCCTCATTTGAAGGAAGATAGGTAATATTTCCTAGAGAAAAACACATCCTACAAGTGATGAGCTGACTACATAGAAACCCAGAAAGAATCACATGACATAATGCAATTCTCATGGATTTGGCTATTTAAAAATACAGTATTTGTTTGAAGAAGAGGACAGAAAAAACAGTCATCTATTCTGCCGTAAGGAAGCCTCCATGTCAAACTGCTGGGGGTGAAGAACAAGGTCCAAGGTCTTCATTCAAGGTGAATGTTAAATACGCTTAACATTTTCGTTTTAACAATCAACTCCAAGAATAGTCCATGGCAGGTATAAGAAAAATCAGATACAAACTGATGAACCCAGTTCATCAAGTGGGAGTTATAAAGTACTTTTGAAGATTAAATAAGAGGAGATGTGTTTTAAATGCCTAACAAAGTAAATGACGAAGAAGCCGCAGCCTCTTAGGAATAGCATCATATTGAGGGAGCCCTGTATTTTTTTGGAAGAAACGTATGGGAGGAACGAACTGCACTGGGAGAGAAATGATGCTGAGCTTTCTCTCTAGAGGGGGAACCTCATTATAGGGGGACCCCGGTGTATAGTCTATTATCCTGGAAGATGAGCTCTTTCTACCTTCGTAGTGTGATTCTGAGTTTCCTGCCTTGTGACCCTTGAGCCATTTAATTTCCAAGGAGTGACCTCCTTTTCTTGAACCAGTCCCCAGTCCCTTCAGCACCTGTCTTTTTTTCCACAGGTCAGCCTTGGTGTTCCTCCTGTTTACATGCACACCCCCAACCCTGACGCTGCCCACCATCCCATCCTTTGCGCCCAGAACGATCCAGGGACTGTATCTCTGCTTTCTTGGCCTCTGTCTCTCATCACGGTCCAGTTGCTCCCTCATACTGCTTGCTTTTGCTCCGAATTGTTCGGCACAATGCCTGGCAGGTTGGGGATAAAGCTTATGGCACGTGGCTGTGTACCTTCCCTCTGAGGACTCCTTTGATCCTGGGGAATGGCCAGTGGTGGGGCATCTACTCAGAGACATGAAGATGGTGGCGCCTACCCCAGAGCGCACACCTAGCTGTTCTGCGCCACCAGCAAAGACTGGCTTTGCCAAGTTTCCTGCCTTGCTCTGTCATATGTTGTCTCTTCCTACAGTAATCCGGGGACTCTTTTCATCCCAGGGTTTTATTCCAAATGGAATGTTAAGAGGGTTCAGATGGGAGAGACAGGTCAGGGCCGTGGGGGTGGGGAGAGGTGTGAGCTTGTCCAGATCTGTGGCTTTGCCAGGGCTGTTTTTAAGTTGACACAGGGCTAAATAAAAAGCCCCTTGCTTTGATCTCAGGGACTTCCTGGGTAGACTGTCTGATTAGATAAAGATCACGGATCCCCCACCCCCATCCTTTAGGAAGTATTCAAAGCTTTGCAGCCATTCTGCATCCCGGGCTCCCGTCTCCTTCCCAAAGTCTGCCTCTCTCTGTCTCGTTGGGTCCTTCCCTGAGTCTTGGGTTTTTCTCTGTTTGAACAGGCAAAGGAGCCTGAGAAAATAAGGTTCTTATTTCCCCTTTAATTCTTAAGTTGTTTAGAAACAAAGTGGAGGCTTTGTTTGAGAGCCTCATATGGACCTCGTCTGGTCCTGGGCATCAAAGGGAATTGGTCTCTGTTTGCAACATGGTCAGCGGCTGGGATGCTAGGAGCAGAGTTGTCGGCAGGTGGAGGGTTTGGAGCGAGAAATATAGTGAGTCCCTGCCTAGGTTCCTCAGTGGAAACAATGGGTGTGAGGTGTACGTGTGTGGGGGGGAGATTCTCTTCTCCTAGAGCAAATGAAACTCTAACCTAGATGGGGACACCCAGGAGACACCCAGAAGCTGTCTTTGATGATGAGGAACTGACTTGGTCTTGGGAATGGGGTCATTTTAAGAAATGCTTGAACCTGAAGTGTTGCCAAATTGAAAATCCTCTAGGCCAGGCCACAGCTTTCCAGCTTTGTTGGGGAGGAGAATCTCTTTATGACATTAGAAAAATGAGACTTTGCAAATGTTTTGTTTTACTTAAGCCTCTGTGCTGACCACTGTTCTAAGTGATACACACACAATTTGCAAAACGTCATTGTTAACTCATTAAATCTTCATGACACCCCTTGGAGCAACAGTACCATTTGGTAATCATATATTACAAACGAGGAAACCAAGGTACAGAGAAGTTAAGTACCTTTCTCAAGGTCACACAGCGAGCACGTGGCAGATTAAGGATTCAAACCCAGACAGGGTAGCCCAAGAATCTGCCTGCCCACCCCCCACAACTCAACACACACACACACTTAGAAAATCACTAAGAAAATACAGATGGAAAGAAGTTATAAATTTATGAATTCAGTAATATTTTAAAAATGTTTACACACACATGAAAAATAGTCACTTGTGGGAGGCAGTTGAATGTAGCGGTTTATTCATCAGTTTCACAAACATTTCTTTGAGAGCTCACTGTGTGTGCCAGGCCCCGAGATAGGTGCTGGGATGGGATGGTGCCTGAAACACACCAGGGCCCTGTGTGGAAGCTGAGGCAACAGGCCTGGGCCCAGAGGCCAGGGTCACGTTCACACTGCAATGCCACCGAGGGTTTTCGATGGTGTGGGGCCAGGGTCCTGGAACTTCCTGGAACACAGCCTTTTCCTCCCTGGACCCAAGCAGCCATCATCGCTTATCCAGAGAGGAAAAGCCCTGCTCTGGGCAGTGAGCCGCAGAGGGACTTCTTACCTGCTCCGCCCACACTGGACATAAGAATTTTGACTACAATTGTCATAGTCAGGATGCACATGGGTTAGACACCTGTGGGAGAAACTACTAATTTTCTCTGCAGTATCTTCTTTATTTGTCACAGAATCGTTATTTGTTAGCTGGGGCACCTGGCTGCCTTAGATAAAGTAATATATCTCATCGTCTTTTGCAAACTGGGTGTGGCCATATGACTAAGTTTTGGTCCATGGAATGCAAAGAGAAGTGGTGTCTGTAACTTCTGAAAAGCCCCTTTTCACTCCTTGCTTTTTTTGTTTTTTTCCTAACTAGGAAATGAATGTGATGATGTGATGGCTGGAACGTTGGCAGTCATCTTAGACCAGGAACTGAAAACGGCTTGAAGAGAAATGTGGAGCAAAGAGATTGAAGGAACCTGGATCCCATACTGACCTGGCACTATCTCCTGCAGACTTGTTTTTCACAAGAGAGGAATAAACGTCTATCTTTCTTAAGCCATGGTTATCTTGTTTTTCTCTAACCTGTAGTTAAACCTAATGTAGTTACACCTAATTCGAGTTGATACAGCATCCCTCCTAAATAATATGTGATGTGGTTTTATTCTGAGTTTTATCTGAACCTTTGTAAAGTACGTAATGTCTGTCCAATATGTTTCTTTTCTCTTTAATCAGTTAAATTCTCTTGTTTTGAGCCTTGTCTGTCTCCAAGTTCTGCCCTTGGGTTTGCAAACACAGGATGCTGCCACTGCTTTTAGGGTTAAAACGCCTCCTCAAACACAAAGCTAGTGTAAGTATTTCACACAGCAGTCTGAACTCTCTTGGAATTTGGGAACTATATTTGCTTAATGCATGCTCTACCATTTTCCCCATGCATTTGAGTCTTAGGCTCTGGTTAAAAAACACCCCACCCCCCAAAAAAAATCCGGTGCTTTTCTAGGGCCCCTGAGCCCCTCATCAGTGCTGGGGGGGGTGTGGGGCCCTCACTGCAGGGCATGGAGAGTGGGGCCACAGGGAGGGGAGCTGGGCCTTTTCCTCAAGCTTCATCTGCTGCCCCTGCCTCAGACCTTGGAGCCTGGGCCACCTCCTCAAAGCAGGCTTGGCAGATTCTGTTCTTAGGTGACTTTTCTGAACTGCCAATGCTTCCTTCCCTCAGCACCGCCAAGACCTTCCTGCTCACTGCAGAGCCCGGCACAGTCTCCGTGGGACACATGCTGGTCAGAGAGCCCCCTTTCTTTAACCAGACTCCAGCCATATGTGTGCCAGGGGCCTGCTGGGCCTCAGGCCCAGGGATGACAGGTTACCATGCTCCTCCAGGGGTCTGTCTCTGTCTCTCTATTTTTATATCTACTAGTAACTATCTATCATCTATCTATCATCTATCTATCTATCTATCTATCTATCTATCTATCTATCTATCTATCTCTCGTGTGTGTGTGTGTGTGTGTGTGTGTGTGTGGTGGGGATGAACTTAACTTGCAATGATCTTTTTCCTGTAGGTATTATAGCAACCTTAGAATTCTGAAAACCAACCCTCTTTCTTTTGGACAAACCAATGAGGTAGGATATGGGATTTTTCAAGCCGCCATTTCACCTTTCTTTTTTCTCTTTAGTTCTCTCTTTTCTCTGACCTGTGCCTTGTGTAGCTCTTCTTCTGCTCTCCGAGTGACTATTCCCTGTTAGGACTAAGTGAGGCTCATCCCTCAGCCTTGGCTCTGGGACACCCGGACGTGTTGGGATCCCTGGCCCTGGGGTGCCTGAGCCGTCTTCTGTGGTTCCTGTTTCTGACTCGATGTAGCAACACCTGGCGTGCTGTGCTCACATCCGGTTCATCCAGCCGAAGCCAGCAGGGGCTGATAGTCTAGTTGTTCTTTTGCTGTTTGGTTTTGGCAATTAAATTTTTCAGGGCAAATGGTGGGCAGACTCAAATGCTGGGTGATGGTGAGGCATGGCCCCCAGAAGGACTGAGGCCGGGGAGAAGCCCGTTGGTTTCAGAGGGCCCTGCTGGAATTCAGAAGGTGCTCAGAGGAGAACCCAATCTTACTCCCTCGCACTCCCACCTAGCGGCTGGCTTGATGCAGGGAAGGGGCGCAGAGGGAACAAAAGTAATCAGGGATACCATCGTCACATTCAAAGGACAAACAGTGAAGGAAGAAATATGGGTTTGGAGCTTCACATATCCAGGTTTCATTATGGCTCTACTCCTATGATGGTGGGCAAGTCTTCCCTGAGCTCCGGGTCCTCACCTAGGCCATTTCAACAGGTGATTGAGATGATTTCCCGATCCAGTGTCCAGCATGAAGGAGATGATCAGGAAGCAGGTGTTTGAGCCTGAACTGGGAGCCAGAGGCTGAGGGTTGGCATTTTCATGCTGCCTCCCAGCTCCTCCTGCAGCCCTGGAGTCAGGGCTGCAGGGGAGAGGGAGCTGGGCGTCAGAAGGGGGGGGGGGGGGGGGGGGGGGAGGTTGGCTGGAGGCTCTGTTTACCCCAGATGGTGCACGCGAAAGAGGGGGAAGTGGGGAGAGGCAGTGCATGCTTCTCTTGGAGGAATCGAGGTGGCTAGTAGGAGTGGCTTTACCACCTGGGACGGGTGACTACAGGTGTCCCGACCACCATCAGCCCATGTCGCCTGCACACCCTCCTCTGTGTGTGGACTCACTGAAAGGGCGAGGGCTACGCCCTCCATCTTGCCCCAGGGTAAGGGCTAGGCCCTCCATCTTGCCCCAGGGTAAGGGCTACGCCCTCCACCTTGCCCCAGGGTAAGTGCTCCATCTTACCTTGGCCATGTGCTTGGCAAGGAGCTTCTTCCCGGAAGTCTAAGCCTCTGCTAGCCACACCCAGGAACAAGACACCGACTTGCGCCTGGCCAATCGGCAAGGCCACAGCCCTTTCTCCTCCCCTTACTCCAACCCCCTATAAAACCCCTCTCCACACAGAGTTCTCTCTCTCTCTGCTTCCTGTCGCTGCGTCGGCAAGGTGGGGGAGCCGAGCTAGCTCGAATAAAGACTCTTATATTTTTGCATCGGACTGGCTGGCTCCCTGATGTGGTTTCTTGGGGATCCTGAAATCTGGGCATAACACTCACATGTGCCAAGGGGCATTAGAATAATGACCTTGTACAATGCCATCCACACTTAGTACATCATTTGTTTTTTCTTTTCAGTTTTGCTCACTTTTAATACTTAGTTTAAAACATGGCCTATACTGAAAATAATATAACAATTGTGCATTACCCAATAATCAGATTCAACTAGTATTAGCATTTGGCCATGTACATATTTTTAGGTTTCTTTTTTTTTAAAAAAGGAAATAAGATATTTCCTTTAAAGTTTTCCACATCTCCCCCGCCCACTGCCATCCATTTCCAGAAGAAAATGTTATCTTGAAGTTGGTGGTTAGCCTTCCTGTGCATAATTTAGTACCTTTATTACCTAAGTCAGTATCCAGACATCATATGGTATTGTTTTGTGAGTTTTAAAATGATTGAAATTGTATAATACTGTACAAGTCTATTTGCAATTTGCGTTTTTACACATTATACTTTTATGACACATCTGTGACAAGATTCATAGCTCTAGATCAGCGGTTCTCAACCTGTGGGTCACAACCCCTTTGGGGGTCGAACGACCCTTTCACAGGGGTCGCCTAAGACCATCAGAAAACACATATATAATTACATACTGTTTTTGTGATTAATCACTATGCTTTAATTACGTTCAATTTGTAACAATGAAATTGGGGGTCACCACAACATGAGGAACTGTATTAAAGGGTCTCGGCATTAGGAAGGTTGAGAATCACTGCTCTAGATTCTTTATTTTAACAGCTGAATGGCATTCCATCTCAATAATACAACATGGTTTATTTGGCCATTTCTCTGTTGGTGGACAAGTTAAGTTGTTTCTAATTTTTGATAAGACAAAAAAGGGCCCACGGGAGTGAAATTAGCGGAATTCTGCCATGACGGCTTCAAGTTTACTAGGTGTAGTCAAATTATTCTCTAACGTATCACCACAAACAGTGGCAATAAGCACTCTGTTTTCTCACCAACTTGCCACCGCTGGGTATTATCAGATTTGTTTTGCTAAATAAAATGGAGCAACTCTGGTTTATTAATTACAACCACGGGAATTCTTCACACCCTCATCTAACCCCGTGCTACCTGTCACATTGTATGATTGTCATCCGAGTTAGTCAGCCCCATGAACCACTCATTTGTGACAAGGGTTTCTGTTCATTCTTTTCTGTGTCTCCAGCAGGGTAAAGGGTGACACGCACATAGTAAGTGCTCAGTACACAGGTGGTGGCTTAAATCTAGAGAATGAAGAGATCAAAGAACAGAGTGATTAGGGGAGACTTAGTGTAGGGGTACAACCAAGGCTGGTCAAAGAATCAGAACCTTCAAACACTCCATGTCAACCAATGGAATAATTTTAGAAGACTTTTAGCAGTGTCTACTAAAGTTGTGCATGCCCTATGACCTGTGAACTCCGCTCCCAGTAGAGGTATGTGCATATGGGCACTAAAAGACACCCGGACTGTTCACAGCAGCACATATATAAAAGCTCCAAAATGGCAACCACCCAAATGCCTACCTATGGTAGAACAGTTAAATAAAAAAGTGCAATACTAGACAGTGATGAGAATGAAGGGCCTATATCTGCAAGCAGGGGTATGGAAGACCCACACAATATGATGTTGAACAAAAGATGCCAGACCTCAAGGAGTATATGCTGTGTAATTCCATTAACTTGAAGTTCAAAATAATGCAAAAAGAACCTAGCATAAAAATCATGATACTTTTGTCTAGCCAGTGTTGCTCAGTGGTTGAGTGTTGACCCACGAACCAGGAAGTCACTGTTTGATTCCCAGTCAGGGCACATGCCTGGGTTGCAGGCTCGATCCCCTGTAGGGGGTGTGCAGGAGGCAGCTGATGGATGGTTCTCTCTCATCATTGATATTTTATCTCTCTCTCTCTTCCTTTCCCTGAAATCAATAAAAACGTATTTTTAAAAATTGTGATACTTTTGTGGGAAGTGGGTCATGAGTGTAAGGGGGCACAGGAGTGCTGGTAATGTTTTATTTATTTTGTATTGAGGTAAAATGAATATATGATGAAATTCAATTTTAAGTGCACATTCAAAGAATTTAAACAAATACATACAGTTGTGTATTTACCACCATAATCAAGATATGGACCATTGTTATCACCCCAGAGAGCTCCCTGGTGAACCTTATGTTCTATTTCTTGACCTTGGTCATAGGTTTTGGGCGGTTCTCAACCTGTGGGTTGCGAACAATGAAAATACATCCTGCATATCAGATATTTACATTACAATTCATAACAGTAGCAAAATTACAGTTATGAAGTAGCAATGAAAATAATTTTATGGTTGAAGGTCACCACAACATGAGGAACTGTATTAAAGGGTCGTGGCATAAGGAAGGTTGAGAACCACTGGTTACATGATGTGTTCACTTTGTGAAAATTCATTGAGC